CCGCCGCCGCCGCCGCCGCCGCCGCCGCCGCCGCCGCCGCCGCCGCCGCCGCCGCCGCAGCCGCCGCCGCCGCCGCCGCCCGCCGTGTACTCTGTATTGTTTTTTGACAGGGATGGTGGGGGGGGCCGCATCGGGTTGGCTGCGCATGTTCCGAATTTGGGGCAGAGTGTGTTTTGTATTGTTTTTTACAAGGGATGGGGGGGGGGTGTCGGCATGGACTCGGGTTGGCCCCCAGTCGCCTGGGGGAGGGGGTGTTTATTAATAGGGAACAGTGATCAAAAACCTACAAGGAGCCAGTCGTGCACCTCACTCCCACCCGCCCTCCCAACACATAAGTAACACCGGACCAAAGGACCAAAGATTTGAACCTCCGAACAGGCTCTGTCAAAACCCAATGCAGTGGACCTGAAGTGGAGCTCAAGCGAGAACCCCGCTTTAAAAAAGGAGCCGCCCTCAACCTCATCCTCTGGGCCTTCTCTTGCCCCCTCAGCCCCCAGAGGCCTTGGGCCCCGCCTCGCATGGCGCCTCTCCCTGGGACACCTCCAGAGAGCCCCTGCTGCAGGCGAAACGCAAACAGGCAGAACAACATAAAGATCGACAGTGCGCAGTCCCCTGGTCGGCCGCAGCAGAAATCCGGATGACAATGGCACAGACATCCTCGAAAAATGGAGATCTGGAAATCGCTGGCTTCTTTTTGGGACCGGCAAGAAAGGCCAACTCGCTAGGGATATCCCCCAAAGGTCGCTTGCTACAACAGGGTGGATCGACTATCAAGTCGAAACGCCTTCGGGGAACCTCCAAGATAGCCCAAGAAGCTAAAATATTGGAAAACCCAACGGCTTTGAACACCTTTTTTGAAACATGAGCGTTTCGCTCGAGACATCCCCTCAATGTTGCCTTCGGGAGGGCTCTCGGATGAACTCCAAGACGGTTCGAGGAGGAGGAGGAGGAGAAGGAGAAGGAGGAGGACGAGCACGAGGACGAGAAGGAGGAGGAGGAGGAGGAGGAGGAGGATGAGGAAGAGAAAGAGAAAGAGGAGGAGGATGAGGAGGAGGGGGAGGCGGAGGAGGAGGAGGAGAAACATGAGGATGAGGAAAAGGACTTGGAAAAGGAGGAAAAGGATGAGGACGGGGAAGAGGAGGAGGAGGAGGAGGAGGAGGAGGAGGAGGAGGAGGAGGAGGAGCAGGAGGAGGAGGAGAAATAGGGAGGAGGAGGACGAGGAGGAGGACGAGGAGGAGGAGGAAGACGAGGAGGAGGCGGAAAAGGACGAGGACGCGGCAGGAGCAGGAGGAGGAGGAGGAGGAGGAGGAGGAGGAGGAAGAGGAGTCAATGCACCCCTTCCGTACCGCCATCCTCTTGCCCATCCAGCTCCTTAGCCTTGCATGCTTTGCCTGCTGCACTGACTGCTTCTCTCCTGCAGCTACACTTTGGCTCTAGGGAAACGGAAAAGGAGCGAGCCTGCGGCGCGCGTGTGCGTCGGCCGGCGGGCCGGCCTCCTCACTTCAGTGTTACCCGAGTGTATGCTTGACGGCAGTATCCCTTCTTCCCCATGTCATCGGCGAAGTCCACTGACCATGAGATACCAGGCAAAACGAATATCTGATTCTGAATATCCAGGCAAAAGGTTGGTTATCAGCCAAAACGACGGCAGAGCCGTTAGTTTCGCAGAGCATGGGATCACAAGAAGGAGCGCTCGGGCGAACAGAAGATCTATGCCTTCCCAAGCGTAGCGAAGGTGTGGCCGCCTCTACGAAACGACCAAACTCCTCTTAATCTTCCAGAAGGCAAGCATCAAAGACTGTGTTTGACTTGATAGAAGGACATTCCTCGGTTGATTCGGTGACCAGGTCTAGAGCATAAAACTCGGGCGGAAGGTATATGGCAAAGCCAAAACTTCCGCCGAAGGAGTGTGTGGTTTGGCGTCGGTACATCCGGGCTCCCAGCCGTCGATTGACCGAAATCTTGAGAGGGAGAAATTGCTGGATCAAGTTCCCATAAGAATGTCAGGTGTTGAGAATCTTGGTTTAGAGCGCGCAGCGCAGTTCGAGTTGCATGGACAGAGCAAGGATGTGAGCGATTTGCGATCGGAAAGGGGCAGTTCGCACTCAATTGAAAAGAACAAAGAATATGCCCAATTCCAGGCCTCGCCCGGTCCATCGCTCGATCTTCTCCCTGATGGATGTGTCGGGTTTGCCTCAGGCGCAGGCCCGTTAGCGAACGTGACAGTTGAACGTGCAACGGTTGAGGCAAACCAGAAGGCCTTTCTTGATTCGGATGATGATCTCGAAGACGGAGGAAGCCCCAACAAAAGCGGATGCTCGTCGGCACAGCCGATATCGAGCTCCCCCGATGTCGCGCGCGCGATAAGGAGCACACGAGAATCTACAGGCATGATTCCCCATCCGACGACAAAGAAGCCGAAGGGCGAGAGTGATGACTTGAATTATTCACCTTTATTGCAGGGTTTTCACCGTCCAGACATCACATTGCCCAGGACTAACAGGGACAGAGTACCAGAACTTGACGAGCTCGTAATGCAGGACAACAGCACAAAGTCGAGACGTTTAGTAATAGGGGTGTAAGAGCAAGGGGGCAACGCGCGCCCACCTCCAGCAGTGGGCGAGGTCGTTCCAGCAAGGCCCCCGGGGCCGGACGTTCCAGTCCTTGGGGATTCGACGCCCTTTCATCGCCACGGTGGTCGTCGGATAGAACCACCGGCAGCTTCTCGATACGGGAAAGATGCTGGAATGCCGGACCTGCGCGTCCGACTCAGGCGGAGAACCGATGCCCGGGGAAGGCGCGCAAACCGGGGGGGTCACGTCGAAGGCCTGTGTGCTCGCAGTGTTCGAGCGTTTGTCCTAAGTGTAGTGTAGCATGGCTTTGTGAGGAATGCGTTGCGATGGAAGAGCACAAGTGCCATCGCATCGCCACTCAAGAGTGGGCGGGAAGACAAAGACAGCATCGAGAACAGCTGAGAGCTGCGAGTGCACAAATGCAGCAGATCATCCTTGAGGCACAGGTAGATAAGAAGGCCGCAGAAGAGGCTAAACGCACGCTTGCAGCGTCCGAGGCCGAGAGGCAAGCAACGGCGCAACAGGTGGAACATGAGAGAACTGTCATTGTGGAAGATGCGCAGAAACGGATGCAGCAAGCTGAGGTCAGCGCAGCAGGAGTTGCGGGCGAAGCCCAGCGGCGCCTTGCCCAAGCAGAGAATGAAAGATTGAGAGTCCAGAGTGCAGTCAACGCGCCTAGTAAGGACGCGCGCCTTCATCCAGGGCGCCCTTGCGCCCTTGCCTCTGAGGCCCGCCATTGCCATTATCATTCGTCGCCCGCCGCCGTAAAAAACCCAACTTCGGCCTCCAAGGGTCTCCCGCCCCTATCGCCCGTCCGCCATGCGCGCTTTGATTGCGCGGCCGAACAACTGGCGCCAGACGCCCAGCAGAAGGCTGAGAGAGAGAGAGAGAGAGAGAGAGAGAGAGAGAGAGAGAGAGAGAGAGAGAGAGAGAAATAGCTGAATACAGAGAAATGGCCGACGCTGCCAGGAGGGGAAAGAAGGGGCCCGAAAACAAGCTGCGCGAGAAAATCAGGTGCTCCGCAATCAACTTGAAGCTGCTAGACTCGAGGCCGAAAGAGTAAAACCGGAAGCTCTGCGAGCCCTTCGAGAACAAGAACAGAAGGCCCAGGTCATCAAACATAAAAACCAAAAGAGAGTGGCCGTTGCCTGGGATCGTCTGAAAGGGCACGCAGATGAACAAATATGAAACAACGTTCTTGCCACTCGGGCCGCGAGTGAGGAAAACGGGAGGTCGAGGTCTAACCTGGAGCATCATCGGATAGACAAAGAATCACGAGATAAAGTCCGGTTACCAGTGCAAACCGCGACAGGGATTTTGTCGAGCTGGGTCTACGACTACGGTTTTGCTGGCAGTGGTGGGCTCCAACGAAAAGTTCGGAAAAGTTGCCGGTGCGTGTTGGGCCGCCTCCCCATCCGATCGCTGCTCGCCCCGTTCGTAAGCGTGGTGACCTGCATGCTCAGACACGAACAGGCAATTGGAGTCAGATCTGTCACGCTTGTAGCTAGCCTTCACTCGATGTACGCATGGGTTGTTCAGAACGCACGTGCACGGGGCCACCTGTATATGGGCGCCAAACGGTGCACTGAGTGCGCCTGGAAGAACGAGTTCGGACGACAGGGTGATCTCGAGGAAGGGGAAGAGCCGCGAGGCACCCCTGATATTCACCGCGCCAACAACGATCCTGATAAAAAAGGCACCGAGACAGTCGGATTTGCCTAAGGATGTTGGATCCGAACGCAAGACAAGCAATCTCGCCGATCTCATGGGCACGCCAGTATTCAAATCAGACAATTTGGATTTCGATAAAATGCCAACGCTGACCGCTCCGTCGATGCCCGCGCTTCCTTTCGCAAAATCGCATTTCATTCCTGGACCGGCTGTCGAGAAGCCTCTTGGAACGAGTGATGGTTCGACGCGGGAGTATGTCCAAGGAATGAATCCTGGGAGTGCCCCCTTTCAACGCGCAGGTTTCGAGGCCGGGGTGTTCTGGGGGCCCCCATCGGCCGTGCAGGCCGTATCAACATGGCATTCGAGACAATCGATATTCTGTCGGGCCTCATGGGCCGTTGCTTTAAACATAAATCAGAATAAAAGACATACACATAAAATACATGTTCGCGCACGCACACATGTGCATTGTCATTGGACGCATCCATGCGCACGCGTATATACATATGAAGGCATACGCACGTGCGCACACAGTAGTACATGCATGCAAAATGCACAAAGGAATGCAAACGTACATACATCCGCTTTTACGGGCACCCATGCAAGCACGCAAGCGCAGTCTACGCTCTCGCATGCGTTGATATTTAATGGCGAGTTTTGCCGACGTGCATGCGATCGCACAAGAAGCGCGACAAACCTCAACAGAAGGCGGCGCGCGTGTCTGCCCTACCCCGACGAAGTTGGCATGCCCTCGCCTTAGGCGCACGGGTAGTGCCCGCTGGGCTTCCTATGCATATTGCTAAAGATTGCCGCCAGGTGCCCCAGGTGGTCAGCGTCGCCAGCAGACAACATGGAGTTGTTCTTAGCGACGAAGTACAGGACCAAGAAGCGGCGGCGGCTCGGCGACATCTCGTTGAAGATGCGCGAGTAGCCACGAAACCAGGAGAAGCACTGTTCTGTCACCTGAGTATTAACTCCGCTGACGCGCAGCTTTAAGCGATGGATGTGCAGCGGGTTGCACGCGCAGAAGGCCGCGTGCTTCTGAGCGCGCAGCTTGTCGACGATCCAATATTTGACATGGTCGAACTGTTTGTCCAGCATCGCCGAAGGCATCACCGGGCATGCCCCGTCGCATATGAAACAATTGACCTTCGGATATTGCGGGAGAACCCCGAGGATAGTGGACTTGACAATGTCGTTGCTCTCTGGCGCGGCCTGCTCTGTCACGGCCACCGCGCGGCCACTCGTCGTCAGAAGCGTAAACCACCCGATGTTGCGGTGCAGAGACCTGGGAACTTTACGCTTCGCGCCAGCCATGGTCGCCGCAGGCTTCCTGATCGCGGCGGCCCTCTTCGCGACGGGCTTAGGCTTGGCTCGAGTCTTCGCAGCAGCGGGCCTTTTCATCGTGGCCTTCACTGCGAACTTGCGAGCAGCCGAAGGCTTCTTCAGCACTCTCCCCTCGGGCTGACCACGGCCGCCGCTGCAACGCGCCAACACCTTCTCGCGGCCGTCGCCCACTAGCTCACTAGCTCAGCAACGCAGGCGGGGTTGGCAGGCGGGTAGACGCGCTGGTGGAGGTGGTCGTCGCCTGCCCTCAGGGCGCTCTCGCCGATGTCCTCCTCCACGTAGACATCGAGATGCTTGTCGAGCGGCCCCAACTCCTGCGCGGCCAGCACATGCAATATAGCATGGTTGTGAAGTTTACGCAGGTCGAAAGGGAACTCCCCCCCTTGCCAACCGCTGCCGTCGCCGTCGTCAAAAAGATCCTTCTGGGCCCAGTCGGAGCCCCTGGGCGATGCGAAATTCTTGGAAAGCGTCGCCTCGTAATACCGCGCGTATCTCAAGGTGAAGCCGCGCTTGCTCGAGATAAATGCAACTCCGGCGCCCTCCAGGTCGGCGAGAGAGGCAGCGTTTTTCTTGCGCCCCCCGACCCACGCGAAGTTGGGGCCGTATGTCAATTTGCATTTCTTGCTATTACACTGCCGTGGCGTGACCGTCACAGTCTTCGCATCGCGCAGGTCATGGACGATGGCCTCGTGGGTCGCATCGCCCTTCTTGCAGAGCTTGCACCCGCATACGCAGAACTCCAGATGCGTCTCGAACTCGTCGGAGATGTCCTGCCGCAGACCCTTGCCCTTTGTGTAGGGCGCGCCGCCGCCGCCCGCGCTCTCGCCGGCCGATCCGCCCGCTGCCAGGTCAAGAATCATGCGTTCCGGCGAGTCTGGAGGCAGTTCCACGGCCGACATCTTGAACTGAGCCAGATATTTTGAATCTGCACATGCCGACCAGCACCGACGCACGGTCGAAATCTTGGTCGCGTAAGTCTTCTCTCCCACGAAGAGATGGCAGACGTCGTGCTCGAGCAGGGTCCCGGCCACGCACTGCGGGTGGTCGCCATTTTCGACGTGGATCAGATACTTGCCCACTCCAGTCGGAGAATCCAGCGAAGGCGCCAGGAACTGCTTCATCAGTTTGCTGCAGCTGCCGTACGTCCGAACCTGGCTCTCTGCAGCGTCCTTGTTCACCTTGTTGCGCCTGCTCGCGATCGTCGCCACTGCGCCGACGTCGTCTGTCAGCCTGGCCATCATGAGGATGATGCAATTGCCAGCTTTCAATAGCACCGGGGGAATAGCGGCATCGTCCTGCCCCACGGTCTCCGCGTCGCCGACGAGCATTTCCAAAAAACACGCATGGGTCTTCAACGCAACCTCTACGGAATACTCGGTGACCTCCAGAATCGCCCTCTCTGAGTCGGCCTTGAAAACTGCCCGATCTCCCACTCGCCCAGGCTCAACCATGACGCCGTCGAAATGCAAGCTCAAGTGCTGCACGGTCTCTGTTTTTTATATAAAATCGACCCATGCAGATAAAACGTAATCTTCGACGAAAGTCCACGTGTAGAACCACGTAGTCGCAGCGGGGCTCCTCCGAGAAACATCCTCGATGAAGGTTTTGTGCATCTCGCGGTCCAATGAGACGGCAAGCCACCGAAGATAAATGCCCTCACGTCGCAACGCAACGAGGAAGCCATTCTCGGCGAGATCGTCGGGCAGATTGCCGCCGCAGAAGATGGACATGCACGTGTCTTTAGTGTCATCTGCATTCAAGCCGAGCTCCTCGCATACTGACGCCGCGTCCGTGGTGCATCTACGAACTGATTCCAACTTGGCTGCCTGGTGCTGGCCCAACGCAAATTCGACTCGCGCTGCAATCTGCGGGGCCAGCGTGAACGCGCACTTTTTGATGTCCCAGTCGTCGACATTCCCCAGCCCAGCCAGGCGGGCGGACCAGTTCAGGCACTGGGCACCGAAGCCAGATACGTATCTCCTGGAGAGCACATCGCACTTGATCTGGTATGTGGTAGGAAATTGCGTTGTCTCAGGTGCATCGCCGCCCTGCTCCGCACCCGTCGAAGCTCCGATGTGTCTCGCAACTGTGTCGGCATCGGTCTCGCGGACTCGCAGAGACTCCAGCATGCGGGAGCGTTTCTCTACGTCGTCTGCAGTTTTCTTCCCGATCCTGCCTCGCTTCTTCTTCCTCTCTGCCCCCTCTCCACCGAGGTATCTGATTACCGTCTCCACGTTGTGGGTGCGAGCACCGCTGCGGACGTACTCGGCGAGCTCCTTGCAGCGAAACGTCTCCACCAACGCTGGCCCAGCAAGGTCGCGATCAGTGGAACCGAGATCTGCCGTGGTTCCTCTCGGCAGAACCGCCCAGTACATCATAACCAAACTTCTGCACAAAGTCGTGCTCGGTTCAGGGCAGCCCCCGCCACTCGAACTGAAAGCGCCCGATCAGCATTCGTCGCAGCTTGGGCGGGGTCGAATTCCGCGGCGGCTGCGGCGGCTGCCTTTTCCGCTGACAACCCAGTCGCTGCTTGCACGCAATCCCTTGTCAGTCCGCCGTCACCGCCCGTGGCGCACTGCTCTATGATATCCTCTGAACCCGCCCGCGAGTGCGACTCCATGAAGCCCCGCAGCAACTCCCAGGAAGCTGGTGCCACAACCTGGCTCTTGACGAACGCGCGTAATCTTGGATCCTTGACCAAGATTCTTCTGCTGGCTGCATCTGGGATGGCATTGACTTCCGCCTCAGTCTTGAACTTGGACAGGATCTTGCACACCTGGGGCGGCGCGGGGGGGGAGGGGGGGGGGGGGAGGGGGGGGGGGGCGCGCAGATTCGAAACTGATGTGATATCCCAATGCCCCCGCATCGCAGGCAGACATGCCCCCTCAGCGGCAACCATAGCACTGCTCCGAGCGATCCCCACCACGGAACTCCAATACATAAGTAAATTTCTTCATACCTCATGGTATCGATGCATGTCAATGATTCACGTTGCTGGTGCACGTTCTGATTACATGTTCATGATGTTGCCATTGGCGCACGTTATCCATGTGCTTAGAATACGAAAACTGATGAAACCTATTGGTGGTACTATGTATCCACTATTAGCATATACTCCTGACACATACTATCGCGGCGGGAAATTGCTGGAATTTGGGGCGCGCGGCCACAGGGCTGGCTGCGTAAGGTCTTTGTGATATCAAATATAACAAACCCCGATTTGCTTATGGGGGGGAGGGCAACTGACGACCACGAACCGAATACTTCCCTGGTGGGGCGGGTAGATTTGCGAGACCGTCTCTTCAGTCACCCGGAATGCGATGGGCAAACAAAGGTTTCCTCTGCCCGATGGCCCAGCTTCGGCGTGGAATGCTGCCCAGACTGGATTCAGACACAGAAGTAAACTGAATGAGCCTGTGCAACTCCAGGCGCTTCCACCCCGGCACTTCTATCAGGCGCGTCGCGATGCCATACAGGCAAACGCGCGCGATGGGGTCAGCGGAAATGTGTTTCTTGAACAAGTCCTCCCTGAAGCCGTGCTTTGAGTTGTCCACCGCCTCCTGCACAGTCGTGATCAGCTTGCCGATCAATCCATCAGCCTGCTTCCGGAGCTCATCATCAGAAAAATGAATGTTGGTGCCCCAGAAAGCGTGACGCCCGCGGAATACGTTGTGGATCAGATGCGCAAGAATCGACTGGCCGACTCCGCCCGGCCCCACAGTCCAGAAACACCTGTCAATGTTATGCCTTTGCAACGTCAGCGCCGTCGCCGCAAGTTGACATTCCAATGCCAAACTGTTTCCCCAGAACGTTTGCGAGAGGAACTTATGCAGCCGAGTTTCGGCTGACTGAAGCACTGGGTATTTCAGGTTATGTGGGATGTACACGTAGACGTTGTTCCCCAGCGCCTTGTCGACAAATTCGAGGGGCCCATTTTCTGCAAAGAGGCAGCGCGAGTCCTGGAAAGCCACGCCAGCGCGAGCAAGCCGCGGCAAATTACACCATTCTGAATAGTAAGTGATCAACTTCCTCGCCAATAGCTCCTGCTGGAGGGCCGCCGATATCTCCTGCGCGGCCTTGGCCACGAAGACGCCTTGCGGCTGGCGGGGCGCACCTGGCGGTGGCGCGATTGCGGGCGCGGGCTCGCCGTCGCCACCGTCGGGGCCGCCAGCGCCCGCGGCCGCCGGCGCGAGCCCGCCTGCGTCGGCGTCGAGATCGCCGGCGCCCGCGGCCGCGGGCGCGGGCTCCGCCGCGCCGTCGCCGGGGTCGTCGGCGCCCGGCGCGGCCCCATCGCCCGATTCTGCATCCGCGACGCCGGCGGCGGGCCCGAGCGCCACTCGCGCCTGGCATGCCGAGAGGAACTTGTCCGACTCAAGTCCCGAGCGCTGCCAGAGCTGATGAAGTCGCTGCAGGAAAACTTCATCAGACGCGGCTCTAGGCAATTTTTCCAATAAGAGAAAGATGCCTTCCAAGTAAATTAAATACGATCTGCACCTGGCAAGAACAGATTCCGCAATCACGCCGTTGTAGGCTTGCCAGGCGCCGTCCTGGTACACGCGCAGGACGCCGTCGCGTGCGCGGATGAGGATGTCGCCGATGAACAAGTGCAAGAGCATGCAGTGCCCCCGCAAGCCTATGTCCACAAGGCGGCAGAAACGGCATGGGATGGCGGCTGCAGCGACCCGCACAAGTTCGTCGGAGGCGCCAGGCAAGTGCTCCCTGGCTGTTCCGAGCAAGCGCTTGGTCACACGCAATATCGAATCGTCGTCGTGGGCTCTCGACTCCCGCACGCGCTCTCGCCCCGCCTTGCCAACGGACGCAAACTTAATCAACGTCGCCGGCGGATCCTCCGTGGGGCGCTGCCCGTTTGTAGACGCAGCATCGGCGGCGCCGGGGCGGGCGGCCTCCTCTCCTCCATGCGCGCCTACATCCCCCCCCTTGGCGCGGATCTGCGTCGGTGGGACCTCGCTGCCAATGATGTCAGCTTCCAGAGATCTCGAGTAAGGGCTCATCGGCCGCGGGGCGCGCAAAGGGCCAGCTTGCGAAGATCGCATGCCGCCCAGAAGAACGCCCCCTGCGTCTGCGCGACGTCTCAGAGTCCGCGCCATCTGTTGCGCCTGCATAGCAGCGATCTCCTCGCGCCCATCGAGGAGACGCAGCCCGGCGCCCGACGGCGCCGAGAGCACGGCCGGCTCGCCGCCAGGCACCTCCGAGGGCGGAGCGATGATGTGGGACGCGCGCGCCTCGAACACGAATCCGACAGGAAGGCGCAGCTGGGCCGCTGGAGTCGCCGCGAGCGGCGGCGCGGCGCGCCCTCCACCCGTTTCCTCGATCATCCGACGCCCCAGGGCCGCGCGCGTCAAACGATCAGCAGCGCCGCCGCATCGAAGAATATGAGCCACGGCGTTCTCTTCAAAAGGAGGAGGCTCAGGCGTCTCTTGCCAGTGCCAATTGGTAGGAGGCGGGGACGCGCTTCCAACCGCTAGATTCGGCGGTGGGCACATGGAGAGGAGGTTGCGCAGATGGTCCGCGTCTCGCCCATGATGTTCGCGAACAAGTTGCCGGGCCGCCTGGACAAATCCGTCTTCTGTGTATAACCCTGGCGAACGTGAACATATAGAGCACGCTGCGCTGCGACGTGCTCGTCCGGCGGCTCCGCCACCTAGCTGTTGCCGCCAATCTTCGTCGCGCCGACGGTCGGCGCTGTCGTGGAAGACCTGCGCATGGGCGACCGCGGCGAAGCCTCCGAAGGGGAGCGGCAAGCCGATGTATGGCTCGAAGGAGTCGACGACACGTTCACTGACCGGAGAATCGCGAAGGCCCTGGACGACGAGCTCGATCGACTCTCGTCGGAGTTCCGCACTTCGACAGATCCCCCCCAACACTTCATCCGAGCTCAAGAGCTCTCTGAAACGGCGCCCCTTCTTCATGGAGAAGGACTGCGTGATGGCCTGACCGCCTCCAGGGGAGTTGACGCACGAGTCGAAAGTAGGGGGATCATCCAAAGCAGCGAATTGCCAGCCGTATCACTCAATCGGAGGACCTCCCGGCTGATCGAGAAGATCGTGGAGAAGTCTTGCGCGGCGTTCACCATGGGCGCGCTCTAACTGGCGCGCGTGCTCGGCGAATAAATCCGCATCAGATAAATACTCGCCCTTCCGCAGCTTCTCGCACAGCGCCCACTGCACAGACAGGAAATGGTCGTTCACGACGGAGCTCCTCGAGGCCTCTGCATGGGGGGCGGGGCCCGGGTTGGCGGCGCCGAAGTCGCTGGTCGTCGGCGGAAAGACCTGGCCCCCCAGGAGACGTTGCCTCGTCGATCACGACGGAGCCCCGCGCGTCCCCTGCGCGGAGGACGGGGTCCGGGGTAGCGACGCCGAAGTCGCTGGGCGGTGGCGGGAGAAGCTGGTTCCCTCCAGGAGAAGTTGCCATGGGCGCATCCGGGGCGGCGCGGCGGTTCTTGTTCCGCCGCGGGCGACGCAATCTAGACTTCTGCTGCTGCCTCTCGTAGTCGCGCCCGTGCCCCAGAGATGGCTGCGGCGTCGCCCACGTGCGCGACCCCGACTCGGGCGCGCCAGATGTCTCTGTCGGCGCGCCGCCTCCCGCCGTCGACGGCGACATCTCGTCGGCACCTCCCAGGCGGTCGATGCGCTCGGTGCCGCCCGCCCCAATCGGCGACGATGGCGGGCCATTCTCGTCTGAGCGGGGGGGGGCGCAACTCTGCCATCGCTCCCGCTTGTCCCCCTTCGGGTCCGAAGTCGTTAAGGCGCTGCACAGGCAGTGGAACGTGGCGCCCTTGAAGCGAACCAGCACGCCGATGTCGTGAAAGCGATAGCTGGTCGAGATAACCTGGCTGGCAACCCGCAAACCCACATCCGCCGCAAATGCGGGTGCCAGGATAAAAACGCATTCCAGAACATATGGCTTAAAAGCCACAATCAACTCAAACGCTTTTTTGAGGAAGCAACGAAACGTCAAAATATCTGGCAGATGCGGGGTTGGTGGTAGCCACCGAGAACCTTGCCGCGCCTGAGCCCCCGGCCGATCGCTTAAACGATAAGCCGCCCGACCCCCGATCAGATGGCGCGCCTGCCCGGTTCCCGATCGATTCGGCCGTTAACGATCGCGAGCCGGCAGACGCCCTCGGGATCGCGCGACCGAGAGATCTCCCTGGTCTAGGAGGAGTCGGCTTGCAGGGGGGGGCGGGCGCGGGGGGGGCGCCAACGACCGCGCCGATTCCATCGCGGCCCGCTGCCCCTTCCTGGGGCTCTCAGGAATCCTCTTGGCCCAGTCGGCCTCGCAGTCGGCGCTGGCGTCGTCGCCCGCGAGCGCCAGCCGGCGGGCGGGCCGACCTTGTTGCGCATGTTTGGCGCGAGAGACCCGCGCAGGCCTCGCGCTGCGCCCGCGCCCCAGGGCGACGGCCCAGGCCCTTGTAGCCTCCCGCGCTGACGCGATGGCCTCGCGCGCGCGCAGGAGCGGGCGCCGCCGACCGTTCGGTTCGGTCCCGCGCACTTCTAATGCGAGAACGCAAAGCCCCCCATGCTGCTCGCGCGCTTTGCGCGCTGAGCAATGCGATGCAGTTGCGACGGCCGCGCGTTCAATTTGAAACCGCAACGCAAGTTTCCATTCCCGCGCGCGGTGCGGTGCATGAACTTACAGATGCGCCGACGGTCGAGAATTCGCGCGCGCGCCCGCGCCTGCCATGTTGGGCGCGCGCACTGGACCCGGAAATCTGTGGCTCGGCCGCCCGATGCGCCCCAAAAGTCGCCCCGCCCCCCCCCCCGCCCCCCTCCCCCTCAAAACTCTTCCGCGCTCCTGGAAAAACCACGCCGCCGAGGCGGGAGCTCGGGCCGCGGCCTGATGGTCTCCGGGGCACAGGGGAATCAAAGGAATCAGTACGGAATCAGTACAGAATCAAAACAGAATCGGCACAACTGCGACCCCTGATTCTAGCGGAATCAAAAGAATCAGTACGGAATCAATACGGAATCAAAGGTGGAATCGGCGATGGAACCAGAATCGGCCAGAACGGCGAAGTAGGCCAGAATCGGTGCCAGAACTCATGCAGAGAGGCCTTTTTCCCGCGAGTTCACTGCGGCGGGTGCGCGGCGCGGGCGCGCCGCGCGACTTCGCTGGTTCAGCGAGGCGCGCAGTCGGCGTTCAGAGTGAACAGGTTCTTTTCAGGGCGATATCCTGGCGGCGCGCTGGCGCATTGCGCATTTGCGCATTCCTGGCGGGCTGTTTGAGGGCGACCCGGCAGCGTCGGCCGAATGGCCCGCAAATACCGCGCGGCCGATCGCGCGCCCCGTGCGGCCACGTCGACCGCCGTGTGCCGCGACGGCCGCGCGCCCCGGACCGCGCCATTGCCGCGTTGGATTGGACGGCGCAGCGCCCGTCCTCCAACAGTCGTCACGTGCATATCGCGCGTGTCGAGCCAGCAGCAGTCGCTCCCAGAAGCAGCCTCGACAGGCGCACCATGCCCTCTGTCGCCCGGTTCCGATCCAAATCATAGTTTCTTAGGATGCGCTTGCGCGAATGTGGGCGCGCGGGCAAGTAACGCGTGCGCGCGCTTGGCGCAGCCTGGGAAATCCAACATGGAGCCCCCCGGGGGCGCGGGGCGCCGGCGACGCCTCCGCCCGCCTCCCGCGCGCCCGACCCCCCCCGCAAGCCGACTCCTCCTACCCTGGTCAGACGCCAGAGATCGCCGACCGCGCATCGGCGGGCTCCGAGATGGGCGCTGCCCGAAGGAGCCGTCTCGAGCAGCCCAGTACACGACGTCGCCCTCGGCGTAGCCGCTCGGCAGCGGGCGCAGCGGGTACTGCGCGCGCGTGGCGACCTTGCACACGTCCATATCGTCAGCGGCACGCCGCGATACCTCGAGCAAGTGCCCCCAGCCCTTTTCCAGGTAGGTGGGATCGCACGTCTCCATGTGGGCAATGGTCGCGAGCCCGGCCATCGCGAGGAGGCGATAAAGACAGCGGGGGTCACTGCACAAATAAATAGTGGCTATTGCTTCTGAGCTCTAATAACAGTGGGATCCTCGAATAATGTCTGATGACGACGGGCGTCAATCTATGCGACTATGGAAACGAACCTTTTCCTAAATTGCCTGCTCCATCATTTATTATTGGGTACAAGTCTGATGATCAGCCGCATGAACTTTCGCATCTCGACTTGGACATCGCTCCCCAGTGCTCTCGCGGTGCTCGCCGACCATATCAACGCTGTGTGCTGGGCGTTCAGTTACGTTAGACCATGTCCTCAATCGGTTTAATTGTCTCCCCGGAGACAAAGAAGGCACCACGAAGGGACCACGGAGGGACCAAGAAAGGACCACGGAAACACCACGGAGAAACCACGGAGGAACCACGCAGAAACCACAGAGGGACCAAAAAGGGACCACGGAGGAACGACGAAGAAACCACAGAGGGACCAAGAAGGAACCACGGAAGGACCACGAAGGGACCACGGAGGGACCACGGAGGGACTATGGAGGGACCACGGCGGGACCAAAAAGGGACCACGGAGGGACCACGAAGAAACCATGGAGGGACCACGAAGAAACCGCGGAGGGACGAAGGAGAACACCCGGAGAGACCAAGAAGGGACCACGGAGGGACCAAGAAGGGACCACGGAGGAACGACGAAGAAACCAGGGAGGGCCCAAAAGGAACGACGAAAGGACCAAGAAGGGACCACGGAAGGAACCACGAAAGAACCACGGAGGGACCAAGAAGGGACCACGGAGGGACCACGAAGGGACCATTGAGAAAAACAGAAGGCACCACGGAGGGACCACGAAGGGACCACGGAGGGACCAAGAAGGGACCACGGAGGGACCAAGAAGGGACGACGAAGGCACCACGGAGAAATCACGGAGGGACCACGAAGAAACCATTGAGGGATTAAAAAGGGACCACGGAGGAGCGACGAAGAAGCCACGGAGGGACCAAAAAGGATTCACGGAGGGACCACGAAGGGACAACGGAGGGACCAAGAAGGAACCACGGAGGGACCACGGAGGGACCATGGAGGGACCACGGAGGGCCCGTGGAGGAACCACGAAGAAGCCACGGAGGAACCACGGACGGACCACGAATAGACAACGGAGGGACCACGAAGGGGCCACGGAGAGACCACGGAGGGACCATGGAGGGACCACGGAAGGACCAAAAAGGGACCACGGAGGGACCGCGAAGGGACCACGGAGGGACCACGAAAGAACCACGGAATTACCAAAACAAGGCCACGCAGAGACCACGAAAAAAACAACGGTGGGACCAAAAAGGGACCACGGAGGAGCGACGAAGAAACCACGGAGGAACTACGAGGAAAC